TCATAGCCCCGAAGTTCCAATACAAATATACAATAGGATTTTAGGGCTCCCTTGTTCCACTCCTCTCTAATGTCCAGGTCCTTACAGAGACAAACTAGAAAAGGAGAAAACCAACGAGGGGGGCCTCTCGCCTCTGCATAAAGGGTTTCTGACGCTGAGGCTTTTGCTCATTGTACTTCTTTGTGAGTTTTGTTTTTGTTTTTTTTTTATGGATAAGAAATTGCTCAATGATATCATAAGGAGGCTGGTGGAGGCGAAGAACGGCAGGAACGCCAAGCTGACGGAGGCCGAGATACGCCAGCTCTGCACCGTCTCAAGGGAAGTCTTTCTTAGCCAGCCCAATCTATTGGAGCTCCAAGCTCCTATCAAAATTTGTGGTACTAATTACTATAACAATGTCATCTACTTTTACTCCATAATTTATTTGTTGTTGATTCTGAATTATTATTATTATTTTTTTTTTTGGGTATTTTCGTTGTTTTGTCCTTACTATTTGTGTTAATTTTTTTTAGCAATTAAGGGTGATTGGAAAGGTTTTTGTTTTGTTTTGTTTTTTTTTTTTTTGATTTACGGTACTTGATTCTTTGAATTAGGCAGGTGTTAGCCATGTAGTTATTGACTGAAAAGTTGCACTAAATGGTGTGCAGTGCAGACTTGTCGTCCGTATTTGTTTCCTTGCATGTATAAACTAAGTAGGTAGAGAACTGCTTTCTTTGTAGCTTTATGTGCATTATCAGCTGTGAATCTTGTGTCAGATAATTAGATAAGTAAGAAACATTCATCACCTTACCATGTTCAAGCTAAAAAGGCTAAGTGTACTTCTGACGAATCAACTGTGTAATTTGCAAGTGATACGTAAGATTTTTACTAACAATATAAACTTTGCATTGGTCTTTGCCTGTCTCAACATCATTAGGTTAGTTCAGGGTGGTATTTATGCATTTAACATTCATCACCTTACCATGTTCAAGCTAAAAAGGCTAAGTGTACTTCTGACGAATCAACTGTGTAATTTGCAAGTGATACGTAAGATTTTTACTAACAATATAAACTTTGCATTGGTCTTTGCCTGTCTCAACATCATTAGGTTAGTTCAGGGTGGTATTTATGCATTTATGATTCGGGATTTGTTATTATGCTTTTATTTATGCTGAGAATGGTAAATTTTTCCTGTCATTTTGTCTATTTCTGGAGTATAGCTGTCAACTAGTTTTCTCCTCCTTGCTCAGGAGTAAAGGGAAATTGGGTAAAGTCTTATTTTGGACAGGCTTTATTCATGCTTTGTTGGTCCACTAATATCCCATGACAGCTCTTGCAATTGTCTGTTGTTTTGGCGTGCTATTTGAGTTTTGAAAATGCTAGTATCTTTATTCGGGGCAGAGCCTAGATAAAACTTAAACAGCACTCCTGCTGTCCCACATTGCGCTAGTTGCTTTATTTTCTCTAGACATTTAAGATATTCCTTAACGGTGGGCTGCTTTCTTTTCTGCCTATTGCTCAGATAATATATCATCATGGTTACAATTTGTTCCTGTTGGTTGTTGCTGCTCAATGTCTGAGTTTAACTTCTTCATGGCCAATTAATGAATTAAGAATACTCTTTATTTATTTCCCTTGGCAGGTGATGTTCATGGTCAATTTTCAGATCTTCTACGTCTGTTTGAGTATGGTGGGTACCCACCAGAAGCCAATTATTTATTCCTAGGGGACTATGTTGATCGGGGTAAGCAGAGCATAGAAACCATATGCCTTCTTCTTGCGTACAAAATCAAATACAAAGAGAACTTCTTTCTTCTCAGAGGCAATCATGAATGTGCTTCAATCAGCTGTATTTATGGGTTCCATGATGAGTGCAAGAGAAGGTTCAATGTTCGTCTCTGGAGGACATTTACTGACTGCTTTAATTGTCTGCCTGTTGCTGCTCTAATTGATGAAAAGATCCTTTGCATGCATGGTGGGCTATCTCCTCATTTGAACAACTTGGATCAAATCCGCAATATTGCTCGCCCTGTCGATATACCAGATCAAGGTCTTCT